ATGTACTCTACTTTTATTTGAAAAGAATCTTTGTGCATCATCCAAAATTTATTTTGTATTGGACAAATATTTGGTGTACATGTGAAATGAAAAGTAAATATAATTCTCGACAACCATCTTTATTTGACAGTCTACTCTATAAAATCACTTCTTAAAGAGAGTCTATCACTTTTTCGGATGTCATTTCTGCAAACAATGATTGAAAACTCTTTATCTTGACTTAGACTGTGGATGAAAAACATTGAAGACAAGGACAACCAGACTGTTTCATCCCAGAAACAAATCAAATTTCAGCAGACAAGAATGATGTACAACTGCATTTCATTTCTTTCACCATTTTTGCTCATTGATAATGAGTGATGAGTTTGAGCAGTTGTCTATTGGAGACGATCTATTTTTCCTCTAAGGCATCAATCCAACTGTTTATTGGAAATTTGGTTGGTAGACTTATGAAGGGCGATTGCAATAGGCCTATCCTTGAGCACAATCAGAAAGTTGTTTGTTTCAATGTTAAACAATATCTATATCTCTTACGAAAGGTTAGCTGGTAATCTATTGAGATTGATGTTTTTACCACCATTTGTTGTGTGTCTGATAAGATGGTGGTGCCAGCGCTGCCTGTATTAAAGTTACTAATTGATGTAAGAACTGTTGATATTATAGACCTACCCAGCCCATTCTTCTTAGTGATAGATCTACTTTGTTTTACGTAGATTAGGTAGCTCATGAGGATAATGTGTGGAGTGAACATGTTCAATGCTTTGGCAGGAGTGTTTTGGTAATTGGGTAGCCATTTTGTTGTTTGAAAGGTGTAGGATATTAAATCAGTGATTGCTTAAAATTAAAGTACAAGATTTTGCACTTGCTTACACCAACAGAATCACTTTAAGCTTTGAATATGATAGGTGGAGAAATAAATTTTAAACCAATCAAATTGAGTCACAAGATTATTGACATGTTGGATTATGGTTAAGATGCGAAATCCCTTTACATGGATCAAAAGAGGTAACCAAATTAATGAACATTGATTTGAGATTTAGTATTGTGAATCAGATTATTGTATGTGTTCCTAAAATGTGATTTCTGCATAAGAATTCTGCATTATGATATAGGACAATGTTTGTTAACATATGTATTGGTAATTCTTAAAACTTGCCAATAAAAATAAATCTGATACAGGAAAATGTGTGAAAGGTAGTGTGAAAAGTATCGAGATAGAATCAGAATGGTATGACGTACATTGACATTTACATATCTTCACATTTTCAAGGTATTACAAACTAAGTCTTATACCTTGACATCATGAGGCACTTTTTCTTGTGACACAAAAGTTTAGGATTGGATTGTAGGCATGCCAATCAGAAAGGCTGTAAACAGTATGGCTGTGCAGGGTAATTTCTAGTTCCCATCTGCACTTATGTTTTGATTTACAGAAGAAAATGGCCTTTTTAATAGCTTATTTTATGAAAATACATGCGAAGAGTGCTTAATGATGTCAAGGTAACATAAAGTTCATAATACCTTTATATTAATAAGATGGCATTTACCTTGCTGCAGTTATTTCTGTACAGTGTATCATAAACTGACACGATGCATGCAGATTGTTGAAATGTCTGTATATTATCAGATAGTAATTATACAGTGCAGAAATGAAATATGGATAATGAAATACCATAAATTTGCCAAGAAGAATATAATAATGTCAAAGTAATAGCTCCAATATGTGAAAATTTCTAGTATTGTAAGAGATAGTATGAAAAAATGGCATTCGCAGACATATATGGCTTCTGGTGCTTTTCTGTTGTTCTTTCAAAACACTAAACTGATAACAGAGCACTTCCAGACTTACAGGAATAATTACTGCTAAACCTAAATTTGCATTAATTGAATATAAATGTTTTGATTAAGGCAATCTGCACAATTCTGGAATAGCATAATGTGCACAATTATAGCACATTAATTTATAGATCTGCTTTGTAACTTATTCTGTTGTAGCATTTCAATAACTAAAATAATAGTCTGCAAGTCATATTTTTGCCCAAAAGGTGGAGCTCAGACTGACTGGTGATGTACTCTCTTGACTCTCATATCAACAAATTAACTGACTGCTAACAAATGCAATCTTCTAGATAGTTGCAGATTCTGATAAATCTTGACAACTATTTCCAGTTCTACTAGAAAATAGACCATAATATTCTGATGATGGTTTATGTGTGATTTTTCAGTCGTCGATAGGATCAGGTCCAATAAATCTGGAGGGAGATCAGATTCTATTGATGCAAGTACTTGGTTTTGAGCTGCTATCCAATTCTTCCAGTTGTGAGGTCGATATGAGCCCCCTTCAGACTTCAATGATTTACCTTGCATAATCTGCCTATATAACATGGTCACAAACTAGAATCTATTCTAAAATTTTCATTAATTGAAATTTAATTTGATTTTTAGTCAAGATGGTGACAGCTGTGTCTATTTAAAACTTCCTCCCTCACAGGAGAGCTATTAAAAATCTATAACTGCCTTGGATAATGGATTCTTCATACCAAGAATTTGAAAAAACTGACAGCAGATGTCTTGAAGATAATATAGTGTTGCTTTTCCCCTGTTATTACCCATAACCACATAAATTGTTGACATACAGCGACATGAGGTATCTTGAACTGTAGTATTTTAAAGAATGTTTTTTTGATCATACATTATAGGTAATAAGATTAGAGTACACCTGAAATCTATTTATAGCGGTTTGAAAATATTTTGACAAAGTCTTTCAAATTTTATTTTTAGACTTTCAATATGTTTAAAGGGACATTACCATGTAGAAATTCTTTATTGAATTTCTGAAGGAGTTAAACTATAAGTCATAAGCTTATTTAAGAATTATAACGTTATACTACCTCTTAGGATGACCAAAAGTTTTTAAACTTGGCCAAAATCATTCTTTGTTTATCTGTGGACTTACCTGTTGTCATAACTATACAACAGAATATCTCTGTAATCCAATAAATCCATAAAACTAAGTAATAATTAATGCTTAGAAGCATGTTTCAATAATTAGATATATGTCTTATATACAGATTCTGTCTTTAGCCGTGAATAAATATCCATTCTAAGAGTTAGTATTCCTTAAAGGATAACGCCAATTTTTATTGAAGGGATAGCACCATTAATTATATTCATACTTCTTTTTACCTGAATATATAATAACAATTAATGGTTTTACATTTAAAATTCCAAAAGGTCGATGTGCTTTGATGTACCAGATCCAACACGAAGCTGTATTACATGACCAAAATATGGAAACAAGATATATTGCATAGACTATACATATTGGTTATGGCATGGCACAAACGGCATGGCACAATGACCTCTGACATGTTAAATTGAAATAGCAAAATTTATGTTTTCTATTGTGTTGCTCAATATCTATCATCTACATCTGAAGTGCAATATTTTACTGTGGCGCTGTTTCAATAGGTGTGTATTGAAAATTTTCATCGTGTTGTACAGTGTCATATGGAATCAGGTGGATAAAAACCTTAACTTCAATCATGACATAGATAGATTATTCGTACAAGTTTAAAAATCACTTTTGATAGATCATTATTGAACACTCACTCCTTCATTGTCAAAATAACAGAAAGATATAAAGGTATTGAATACAATAGAAAAGTGAATTTTAAGATCAATTTACATGTCATTGTTGCTTTATGTTCAGATCTTTTGAAATTTGACTATTATTGTAGCCAGTGGTGGTCCAAACATATAGCATGATTCAAAACAGAGGGTGGGTTGAAAATGTTGTTGATTGTATGTAGACATTATTTTAAAGCAAGGGTTTTCAACATAGGGGCAATTTATCCACAAGGGGAGCCATTTTGAAATTTTCGTTGGGTAATTAGGCACTTTGTACATACATGTGTAATCTACTCATGTTGTCAGATTTCTACAGCTTTTGTATGTTGTACACCCCTCTACATTTTTTGTTTTTTTCTTGACCAAATTTTCAAGGGATCTACCGTTTTCAATGTCCAAATTCTCTACCATAAATCAACAAAATATCTATCTTTACTTTATCTTGATTGCCAGTAGACAAGCAAACAATAGCCAAGTGAAATGATTTTTTATTTTAGTTATGTAAAGCCATAGTTGAAATCATAATGTAAATTTTGATCAGATGACTCCTTGACAAGAATGAAAAATATTGACAGCTACTTTTTATTGCCTGCAGCAGATTTAAAATTTATTTGAATTTAAATCCTCATAAGAGGGTTAAAGGTGAATTTTTAACCCTTATTAAGAGTGTATCAGACCTAGGGTGATGATTGTAACTGTATTTACCTCCATGTATAAAATGATGGAGAGCTTATTCAGAAGGAAGGGTCAGTGTTTTTACCTGACAGATGACCCTGCCAGGATTATGTCGTATTTGACACCTGATAGTGTGAAATGACACCAGTTGCACTTCTGACCAGGGGTCAGTTGAGGTCATTGTTAATATTTATTGTTTTATTGTGATTATCATTAATCAAATGCTGTATTCGTTACCTCTTGTTGAAATGGGAAGTACAAGATCCACAATAGGAATTAGTAAGAAATACCAAGTACTACAGGTGACATAAGAGATATGAAATAAATCCATTAAAACTCAAAACATTAAACAGTAACATGTGTTTGATCATTTCCCGAATGTTTCCGTTATATTGGGCTCTTTGCTTAAAATTGGTGGGTTTTTTTTTCGAAAAAGGCTTCAAATGCCTGTGGCTCTGCGGCATTGGAGGTGAATGTGTACTTCACACAAATTTCTCAAACACATTCTTTATTATTGCTCCCTTCTGTTTACTAAAAGCCAAAATCTATAAACCCCTGAGAGGTAAAACTGAAAATTAAGTTTTACTTAGTTATTTAGATGAACTTGGGTTTTAATATAAAAAGTGTACATGTAAATACTGTTTTAAGTCATTAACTTTATGTTTAAACTAATGTTCTTCTTTTTCTATTTCCAGATGTGTTGTGGTATTATTCAATCCAAAACGTAAAAAACAAACACATTTATTTAATTGTTGTAAGAAGACAATTACTGCTCTTGCTTTTTCTAAAGATGGCAAACATTTGGTCACAGGAGAGGTGAGTTTTCTTTACTTTAAAACTGGAGATTTGAAATGAGTTCCGGCACTGAATTCAATTAGAAAGAGGGAAATTATCCTCTAGTTCTCCAGAGACATTCCACGATAAAATCATGTATTGAATGTATGACTAATTTGTGGTGCTTCTGAAAGATACATTGAAAGTACTTTCTTATCTGCCAGGAATATAGAAATTCCCTATTTGATATATTTTCAGGCTGGACACCTACCAGCTGTACGAGTCTGGGATGTGGAAGAGAAATCACAAGTTGCAGAATTTCATGGACACAATTTTCGGGTTAACTGTGTGGTAAGCAGATCTCTAATCACTTTGAAATAGATAGGAAACCAAGGATGCAGGGTCTTTTGCTAGTGTTGAGAACTCTTTACATGGAAACATTTATCAAAATATGCTGAGAGTAATTAAGAAAAATCCACTGTATTGGATCAACTCGGGTTGTGCAAAAATAAGATGCAAAATGCAATTTTGTACTTGATGGATATTTGCTATCTTGCCATAGCTGAAAAAAGCATCTACTATATTTTGGCGCGGCCCTGACATCAAGTTTTCTGGCAAAAATACCATAAATAGATTAGAAATTCAGGCAATCTCAGGTATTTATTAGGTCTGACATTAATTGTTCTTTGTCTAAAAATTAGATCTGGACATTTATTTTTCAGGCCTTTTTTCCAAACAGTAAATATATTGTATCTATTGGTTCTCAACATGATAAAATGGTTAACGTATGGAACTGGAAAACTGGTAATAAAGTAGCCTCTAACAAAATCTCTTCCAAGGTAAGACAGCAAAACTCTTAACCTATTATACTCTTGTAAATAAAATAAACTGATTGTGTTTATGTTTTGATATTAATATTGTACTTTTAGGTTAGTGCTGTTGACTTCAGTGAAGATGGCAGTAATTTTGTAACTGTGGGACACAGACATGTTAAATTTTGGTACTTAGACAGCAGTAAATCAAAAGTAAGTAATTAAGATAACTTCATTAGCCCACATGTTGCAGAAAAGTAGGACGTAAAACTCGTAAAACTCGATTCATTTCATTTCTAAGATAACTTGCACAGTGGATTATATAGCAGCTTCAGTAGATTGGAAGGAATTACAGCAATATGAATTTGGGTTGTCATGACGATACTGGAGAGAAGGATGTAAACTTGGGACTTGACAAATCAGATGAAATCATTCTGTCAAATTCACAAGTTTGTGCTAATATTATAATGTGATCTCTTCTTCTGAAGACTTTCTATACTTCTCAAATCTTTTTATTGGTAAGAGTATTTGTCGTCCATTTTAGATCAATGCTCCACGACCGCTGTCTGGACGTAATGGTATATTGGGTGAACAGAAGAATAATTATTTTTGTGATGTGGCGTGTGGTCGTGATAGACAAGCTAACAACACATACTGTATCACACAATCTGGTTTACTCTGTCAATTCAACGAGAAACGTCTGCTAGATAAATGGGCAGAACTAAGGGTAAGTTTGGTGTAGATCTAGAAGTGTTACTACCATCAGACTAATTTTATTGTATGGAAAAAAGATCATCACCAATTTCCAGCATGAAAATGTAAAATTTAATCCAATAAAAATTGATTGAAATCAGAGTAGCATTTTGGATCTTCAATCAGACCTGGCTGCACATGACAAGCAAAAGTAGTGGTGATCTTTGGAGATGATGACTATTTTGAAAATTCTGTATGTGTATATATTTGTGCTGGACAGGAAAAAAGCTCCAAAAACGCCATGAGATTGATACAAAATTGAGTTGACACTTTTTTCCCTTTGCTGTTAATATCTTCAATGAAAAAGTTTAATTCAAATTGAAATATAATCTTTCAAATATTTACATTAATATTTTCAGACTAAAAGTGCTAACTGTATCAGTGTAGGGGAAGATTTTATATTTGTGGGTTGTTCAGAAGGAACAGTGAGAATATTCAGTTCTGAAAGTTTATTTTTTATATCAACTTTACCATGTCCACATTTTCTAGGAGTTGATATATCCTCAGCCATTACTCCTAGGTAAGATTTCTATTCTTAGATGATTGTTTGCCAATCTGAACAGGGTTCAATCCCGACATAGGTAGAGATAATACCTTTGGATTTTTCAACTCGGTTTCCCCCTGTCAGTGATGCAGGTAAGAGGGGCTGACATGGTCTAGTCATTCCGATTTCCATTCGACAGTTGGAAATCGGAAAAGAGCAGACTAATGCTGCTGTCCTGGCAAAATTTCCCTCATTGCACCCTGCATGGCGTTGTCATTTCATGTGCCAATCTGAAGGTTCCAAACCATTCGTCATGAAAGTGTCCTTTTCATTTCCAATAATGCTATCACAGGGAAGAAGCTTTTGTGGAATTTGCTGAAAATGAGCTCAGCACCTTTGACAATGGGCATAAAGGAATGATGTCAAGACTTGGCTTTATCTTCTTCTTTGTGTTCAACAGTTAAAACTCCATTTTATATGGATATTATATTATAGTATATTAAAACTGAACTTTCTTCTATTTTATGTTATTTTAGTCATGTTGTACATCCTAAAGCAGACGCCAAATATCCTGATACTATGGCTATAGTTTATGATGATTTTAGTCAGAAGGTTAGTAATACTTATTTTTGATGGCTTTTGTATCATATAAACAACCAGTTGAAAGTGGGGATCAATTTCATCAAATTTTCTTCTTTTGCATTGCAAATTTGATAATATAACTTCTCAAAAGTGCAGCATCGAAAATTAATTTGGCATAAGTATAACTTTTGCCATGTAAGAGATATTCTAAAAGTGGTGTATGAAAAAAATAGTACAATCCTTATATAGAAATAATACAATGATAATAGATTGTTTGATTTTGTTTATAAATTCTGAAACATGAAAAAATAGTTTTTACATAAAAAAATAACAGAATACTCCATTCAATTGTTTTTAATTTCGTTTTTTCATGTGTATTTATTTGTAGGTAACTTGTGTCTATAATGATCACAGTTTATATGTATGGGATGTACATGATATTAAAAAAGTAGGAAAAGTCTGGAGTTTTCTATATCATAGTGCCTGTATTTGGGGACTTGATGTAAGTTTCTAGCTTATATTAAGATCAGTTGAAGCTTTGAACTTTTGTGGTAAAAGGGAAATAATTTGAGTTATGGGGAAAAGATAGGTAGTCTTAGCTGCAGGAAAACAAAGATATTAACTTTGAAGAAGAGCTAAGTAGAAAATCTGATTTAAGCTTTGATCAGTGGGTTAGCTGGCTCAGCACAATTGACCTATGCTTGAAGTCTTCAATGAACCATCTTATTCTACATAAGCTGTGCTGGTGCATTTGATATCCTTCATATTTGTCATCCTGCTCATTAAGAATAAATGTAATATGAATTTGCAGAGGCCTGTTTGATATTAAGTGCACTGCAATATTGTGAGTTGCCATGGTAACATATTAATCTGTGTATTTTTATAGGTTTATCCATCATTAGATAATAATAATAACGCAGTTCTACCTCCTGGTTCGTTTTTAACATCATCAGGTGATGATACAGTTAGAGTATGGAATATAGAGTCACAGTTACAAGATAATACTGTTTATAAACGCAATATATATAGCAACGTAAGTATTACAATTACTATATATAGATAATACTGTTTATAAACGCAATATATATAGCAACGTAAGTATTACAATTACTATATATAGATAATACTGTTTATAAACGCAATATATATATAGCAACGTAAGTATTACAATTACTATATAAAGATAATACTGTTTATAAACGCAATATATATAGCAACGTAAGTATTACAATTAATATATATAGATAATACTGTTTATAAACGCAATATATATAGCAACGTAAGTATTACAATTAATATATATAGATAATTCTGTTTATAAACGCAATATATATAGCAATGTAAGTATTACAATTATTATATATAGATAATACTGATTATAAATGCAATATATATAGCAACGCAAGTATTACAATTAATATATATAGATAATACTGTTTATAAACGTAGTATATATAGCAACACAAGTATTACAATTATTATATATAGATAATACTGTTATAAACGTAATATATATAGCAACGTAAGTATTACAATTACTATATATAGATAATACTGATTATAAATGCAATATATATAGCAACGTAAGTATTACAATTAATATATATTATATGATAATACTGTTTATAAACGCAATATATATAGCAACGTAAGTATTACAATTAATATATATAGATAATTCTGTTTATAAACGCAATATATATAGCAATGTAAGTATTACAATTATTATATATAGATAATACTGATTATAAATGCAATATATATAGCAACGTTAGTATTACAATTAATATATATAGATAATACTGATTATAATTGCAATATATATAGCAACGCAAGTATTACAATTAATATATATAGATAATACTGTTTATAAACGTAGTATATATAGCAACACAAGTATTACAATTATTATATATAGATAATACTGTTTATAAACGCAATATATACAGCAACGTAAGTATTACAATTACTATATATAGATAATACTGTTTATAAACGCAATTTAAAATATTTCGTTATTTTCTGAAACTATGTTAAATAAGTAAGAGTACAGTTCTGATTTATTTCTCATTGTAGGAATTATTAAAAATAATCTATGCAGATCCTGCACATAATTTCCTCTGTGATGTGGAATACAATCTTGGTAAGAAATTTATTAATTATTTACTATTGGAAACCATGCTACAATTCTGTCTGATATTTGATTAACATATTTCAACATGGTTTTACTTTGTGAAAGGTGCAGATTTGTTGAGCTCTCGTGAATAACTGTCACAGAAGTAATTTGGTAGCATGTACAATAGTTTGCATGTTCTCTCTCTATTATGACTAGGAAAGCTGTCATGCCATATTTAGCTTTAACTTGAAATTCGATTATTTCAGCTGGTTCTACTGATAAAACTGATACTAACTATGATAGTAAAAATGGTATTCGGTCAATACGTGTTAGTCCTGATGGTAAACATCTTGCTACTGGTGATAGAGAGGGCAATATCAAGTAAGTTATTTACATTTTGATTCCAATTTTTCACATTTTTGAGATATTTTCCAATTATAAAAAGCAAAAAAGTATGAATTTTGTTTTGAACGAGAGATTAGTTTGTGAATGTGTTCTCGTCATACATAGGTCCACAATTTTTTTTTTTCAGAATCTATGACATGCATTTTATGGATGATGTACGGTCAATAGAAGCTCATGATGGAGATGTTTTATGTTTAGAATATCATTTTATTAAAGGAGGTAAGTACTATAAAAGAAAGTTAAGTCCTGATCAAAAAGTTCTTCAGACCCAACTTAGCTCTATTGCTTATTTCCCATGAATTTAAAATATTTGTGCTGAATTTGTCTAGTATCATGTATGAAAGACATAATAATTCAATCTTTTTTTCAGGCCCTAGATTACTAGCTACGGCAAGTCGTGATAGACTAATACATGTATTTGATGTGGATGAAAATTATGGTCTACTACAAACATTAGATGACCATTCTTCATCTATTACTGCTGTCAAATTCGCTTCCAATGGTGAAAAATTAAAAATGTTGAGTTGTGGAGCTGATAAATCTATTCTCTTTAGAAATGCCACAATGGTAAGTGACTGTGAATTGTTTGTGAAAGAAATTAACAGCAGAATACATAATGTACTTTATGTGTTTAAAGTTTGTAGCCTAGAGAAGAGTGTTAAGCATGCTTATACCGTTATGGAAAATTTGATGTTGCTAGTCAGATAATGACATTATGTTGTCATAGCAATGTGTCAAATAGTCAACATGTCTTTTTTCTTCCTTTTATTCTCACAAAAGAGATCTTAGATGTTTGTTTGCAAATTTGTTCTACCATTTCTTTCCCCCCGTATTGCTTCAGAGTTGGAGCCAAGATTGACAAAATATTTCTTCTTCAGAGTCCTGAACTACAGTTTAATGTAGACCAGCATCTAGCTAGTAAAGCTACTCTATATGATATGATAATAGATCCATCTCATAAATTTGTTGCTACAGCTTGTCAAGACAGAAATGTCAGGTAAGTTTCTAGCTTGACATCTTTTATCAGTTATATGGAGGTTGACGAAGGTCAAAGAGCCTTCGGACTGTAAAAATAACTTTGAAGATGTGGGAAGACGGAACTTTTTGATGTTTTAAATCATGTCCGTAAGCACGTTTCAACTTTGACCCATGTGTTAAAGGTTGCTATTTTGTAACATTTGTTGCATTCGCATCTGATATACCTTACGAACTATTCCAGAATATACAGTATAGCAAAAGCTAAACAAAAGAAGAACTACAAAGGAACACAAGCAGACGATGGAGTGTTGCTACGGTTGCAGCTAGATCCATCTGGTTCATATGTAGCTACGAGTTGTACTGATAAATCAATCTGCATAGTTGATTTTTATACTGGAGAGGTTGTGGCTACCATGTATGGACATTCTGAGGTAGTCACTGGTATCCAGTTCACCAATGATCTCAAACACATCATATCAGTCTCGTCAGATGGGTGAGTTTCACGTTTTTTGGTCCCTTCCTAATAATAAATAACATCGCAATGCAGCTATTTAAAGCATTCCGATTCCTCACCTAGCTTTTGTAAATCCTTCAAAAAAACATGGCCACATTTAAAGTGCCGTTGAGAAACCGAAAGTGTCATTTTCCTTTCTAACAATGTCTCATTCTAAATTTCCCTTCATCTTACTATGCAATCAAATATTTTGAATATTAGAATTAAATTAATTTACATTCTGAAAAGAAAAGCTTAAAATTGCAGTAAAACCATTATGGGCTGTAACAAAACATAATAGATTCAATAAATACATCATGATATTACTCACTTCTTGAATAATTAAGAACGCAATGACTCAACAAAATATTATCATGAGATGACATGCCAGATTAAAAACTCAGGAATGGGTATCCATCTTTAATTATGAGATTAAACAATGGAAAAAACCATGATTAATATAGCTTTCTAATGGAATGATATTTTATTGCTGTAGAATCATTATATATTTTTAGTATTGACTCATACCTCGTCAAAGTGAGATATTGATTATTTTCATTAATCTATATACCTGATGATATTTTATTTATTAAATGTGAAATATGATAGCTCAGTAATCTGTATATTTGTGAATTGAAAGACTAACAAGTAATATTTTCTCAGTTAAAATATTGCCCCATGTATCATATGTAGAGACTAATAATTATATAACACCAGTGTAATCTTTTTCAACTTAATGTTCAAAACAGATAGTATATCTCTGCAACTATACTAGAAACATGACAGCCAAGTGTGCTTAAAAATTTATGTAACCAGTCATTGAGTTTTCACTTATTTTTTTGGAATTTCAGGTGTATATTTATATGGAAGTTACCAATTGATATGACCAAACAGATGAAATGTAGAATGGAATTATTGGGAAAGATTCCAAAAGATACCAAAATATATGATGATCTCAAGTAAGTGTTGTATAAAGCAGTTTATGAAGATTAATTTTCTATAGCCAAACAATTCTTTTGAATTTTGTTAATCTCTTCTTTGGATATTCAATCAAAAATTATAATATATAATTTGAATGTGCATGAAAATGATAAATAATAAATTTTTGTTTTGTAAATAACACTCACTATTACAGTGTTTGTATAACACTACAGATAATATTATGGTGTGTGGTGTATGGTGTTATTTGTGGTATTATGGTGTTATTTGTGCTGATATAAAATTTGCACATTATTTTTTGACAGTTCATCTTGAAGACCTGTTTTGGAAAATTACTAAAAAATATTTATTCACATTATATGCTTTGTGGACAATTTAGAATTTTCTGTATCTTGACCATTACAGTAAAAAGAATACCACACTATCTGAAGCCCTAGATATAGAAGACACAATACCCACATTAGATAGCGATTATAAATCACCAGGAAAAGTTCTAGATATTTTAGAAGATAAACCACAGCAAGATTTACCTAATCTAGATTATAGATTCAGTGTAGGGGAGCTACCTAATTGGGCTAAGAATAAGGTAGGTTTTCAATAGATCTTTCCAAAGAATTTTCAGTTTTGCGTTTTGGTTGCTTTATTATTCAGATTAGATATCTAGTTCAAAGAGTCTCTGAGCTTCTGCTCTTTGAGATGACTTAGTTTGCTCATATACTTCCAGTTCTTATTTTAGAAGTAGAACTTCCATTTCCATGCCAACTGCCCAGATGAGCCCAGTCGGCAGTGGTGTTGCTGTGGATCATTAAGTGGTGGGGCTAAGCAAGGGTCACAGAATTATCCATGGGAGCTCACAAAGCAATGTAAAATGAAAAATTTGATATTGAGGCGGCTAAAGCTAGAATCACCTTCTTAAAAATGCCACTGGCACGATGAGCTGATGTCAAATAGAGAATGGGTGATGATGAAATCTTTGTTTATTTTCAGATGAGTGATGCCCAGTCAGAGACCTCAGATTCCAGTAATGAAGGTCAACTACCTAGAGGGCGATGGGCACAGAGAGCAGATAAAAATCCCACTGATGTTTTTTCTCAACTCGAAAAATCTATTGACAACAGTGCTCTTGAAGGTAAGACAAATGTTTTACACCTGTCTGCACTGACATCAGGAATAGGTTGTCAAATCTGGCCTACCTGTTCCTTGAATGTGATACACTTTGGGCCGGACAGAAAATGCCACTTTTTATGGGAGTTGCTCCAACCCACTAGTTTTGGAGAATTTTTATGTCAAAGGGCAAAATTTGGAGAATTCAGGAGCAGAAAACTTAATTTCTCATCAATAATCTGAAAAATACCACATTGACCCAAAATACTCATATATATATTAAACTGAAAAGTTCTGTAAGTTTATCCCTTTGAAAGAGTTCTGTAAGTTTATCCTTTTGAAAGAGTTCTGTAAGTTTATCCTTTTTGAAAGAGTTATGATAGCTAATCCTTTTGTAAGAGTTATGATAGCTAATCCTTTTGTAAGAGTTATGATAGCTAATCCTTTTGTAAGAGTTATGATAGCTAATCCTTTTGTAAGAGTTATGATAGCTAATCCTTTTGTAAGAGTTATGATAGCTAATCCTTTTGTAAGAGTTATGATAGCTAATCCCTTTGTAAGAGTTATGATAGCTAATCCTTTTGTAAGAGTTATGTTAGCTAATCCTTTTGAAAGAGTTATGATAGCTAATCCTTTTGAAAGAGTTATGATAGCTAATCTGATTCATGGATTGATTCTTGTATAAGTTAAGATTGTAATTTTAGATGGTTTAAAATCTACTAAATTTTACATTTATTCATTTGCATGGTGATTCCTTTACTTCATTACTAAAATAAAGAAAAATAGGACTATAACTCCCAATTTCACTTAAACAGATAAACATTAATATGATTTATTTACTTAAAGGACTTTTCCTATTAAATTTCAGTTTGAATTGGTCATGTATTGTGTTCAGTCATGACTGTGGCTTGTAACCTAGGATTTTCAATTGTTATGTAAATTTACTTTGTTCAAAAGCTGATTGTCAAAATACTTGAAAAACTTTAGAATTCATGGAGTTTTATTTGATTTGATTATAAGTCAATTAGTTGTTAAAGGGGCATGAACATTTAACAATTTGGATATGTTCTAAGGTGATTATTTCAACCAAATTTTTAAGCTTTGATACCAAATACATAGTAAACTTTTTGAATACAAAAAGGGGGTTAAAAAGCACAAGATATATGGATATACTATTTCTGACATTTATTAACTCGACGTTTCACATGCTCATACAGGCAACGTTATCAAGAGAAGGGAATAATATAACAAGACTAACAATATATATAGTAAATAAATGAGTAACAATTAACAGTATAAAGGGACCACAGGATTAAGAAGGTGTTTAAGATCAAAGGGTGATGGAGGCCATGGGGGTTCAAATGCCTTATCATTCTGACTTATGAAAGCTGCAATTCTGCTGTTTTCAAATTTCTCTCTAACTATGTCACAGTCTGCTTAAATTGCAATTTTCTTATGATAACTAAAAGTGCCCTTACACCATAGCAATTACCAGTTGCGTATAGTTGTGAATAAGCGGTTATAAGTTTCGGACGCAACTCTCATGCAATCTAGTTGAGTTCCGATCTGATGACCACTTGCATTATTCACAACCATACGCTACTGGTAATTGCAATGGTGTGAGAGCACCTTTAATTAAACTGTTTTGGCCTTGTGAACTATTTTTATATTTTTGTGAGTGGATTAATTATTAGTAGTAATCTTTAATCTAATCTGACATTTCCCTAAGGAAATTGAATTAGCCCAAATAATGAACCACAATTCACATAGTCAGATTTAAAGGGATTATTTTGAGATTTTTTCATATTTATCTAACAAAGGGGCTTTTCGATTAGAACAGAGTCATTTGTCTGAGAATTGTTTTCACATCATCATGGCTGCAGGATCAGTCTGAATTCTGAGGGAATTGACTAAGCAAAAGTCTTGTTGTTTCATTAGGACAATAAATATAGGCCACATGTTCTACATGTTAATGATCCCTCGAGTAGGCTAATTCTGGCAAAATTTCCCTCATGGCACACTGCATGACACTTTCAGTCTTTATTAGACCAAAAGAACAGATAAATTTCATTTCTAAAGTCTTTGGTCAAATGACGGGAAAACGAAAAGTCTAATGCTATTGTCATGGCAAACTTACACTGTGCATAGCAAAATTACCAGTTTTCATTAGATCAATCAGATTCAGAAATATACAAGGAAAATTCAAATTCATTTCACTATCCTATTAATGATAGAAAATCTCTTTACTATACCTTTAATACATGTATAAGTATTAGTCTTATAAGTGTGTGGTTTTTCTGAATGAAAACTGGTTGATTAAAAACCTGAAATTTGAGAGTTGTATGAGATTAAGAAATCAAGTGTGTGAGAATGAGATTTTGTGAACACTTTCAGTTGGATAGATTGGACATAAATTGTGACAACCACTTATGAAAAATAAAAATGATTTTTTTTTGCATGCTCATCAAAAATGTGCAATGACTTTATTTGTTTTTAAATTTGGCCAAGATTAAAGTTTTAAATTCAGTGAAAATATCAAGCTGGGGAAAAATTTTTTGGATTGAGGATATTGGACTAGAGAGGGTTGACTTTTAAATTTTTGAAGAAAGGATAGAACAGTTTGTGATTCTGTGACATGGCGTATTGGTTGAATAGTGGATCACCAAATTTTAGACGCATTTATTCCTCGTATATTTTAGATCGAAGGAAATTCTCTTATGAAGCTGAGGCTCTTCAACAACAAATAGCTGATTTACGGAGAGAAACAATGATATTAAATCAACAAACAAACACACAGGTAGGTAGATAAATTTTATTATACTATCAGATTTAGTAGTCAGATATTTAATATGTTCATATTCAAAGTTTTTATTCAGATATTGAATAATGTCATATTAAAAGTTTAATGTTTATAGTCAGATATTTAATATGGTCATAGTCAGATATTGAATATGTTCATATTCAAAGTTTTTATTCAGATATTAAATAATGTCATATTCAAAGTTTAATGTTTATAGTCAGATATTTGATATGGTCATAGTCAGATATTGAATATGTTCATATTCAAAGTTTTTATTCAGATATTAAATAATGTCATATTCAAAGTTTATTGTTTATAGTCAGATATTTGATATGGTCATAATCAGATATTAAATATGTTCATAGTCAAAGTTTATATTCAGATATTAAATAATGTCATATTCAAAGTTTAATGTTTATAGTCAGATATTTAATATGTTCATAGTCAGATATTTATTATGGTCATATTCAAAGTTTGTATTTAGATATTTAGAGTTTATAGTCAGATATTTAATATGGTCATAATCAGATATTAAATATGTTCATATTCAAAGTTTATATTCTGATATTAAATAATGTCATATTCAAAGTTTAATGTTTATAGTCAGATATTTGATATGGTCATAGTCAGCTATTTTATATGGGCATAGTCAGATATTTAATATGGGCATAGTGCAAGGTATTTGTGGGTAAAGATTGTGCAAAACACTCTCTTAATAAGATGTAAGAACAATTTAAAGCAAACCAGATGTTTATATTTACCTGTATGTCATAAGTCTTAATTTTGAATGAATAAATTTGTTCTGATTCAATAAGTTTGATATAAACTTGACTTATAACTATTTATAGTTGACATAGATTTTAAAGAAACATTACCATATAAATTAAGAAACATGTGAATTTTTTTTACTCAGTAACATTATCAATCTAGATTTTTTTCCTCAAAAGTTATCTATGAATTTATTATATACTAATTTACTTTAATTATATTTACTTCTGTCCAAAAACAAAAACAAGTGCTCCATTTTGAGAGGTTGATTCGAGTCTTGATTAATATATGTAAATAGTTTTCAGAAGTACTAGAATTTCTCTTCCTCTTTCTATAGATGTCTTTCTTTTTTTGGCAGTGTCTCAAGAAAAGACGACTTGTTCACATAATTTTGGACACACATGGATGTGAAGGCTCAAAATTTGACAATGAGCTGTGAACACTATAACTGATTAGCTTAGCCTTAAAAAAAAATTCCCCTGCCCCTTTAAATTAACTACGTCAAGGGTATAACCTCTGTAAATACTCATGACTTTATTAAAAATCTATCTATTTGCTTACACCTGTAAAACTTGATTTAGATAATGGTTTTAGATTAATAACCATGAAGAAGGTTTAAAGTATTTTAATATAAGTTTCTTTTTATGTTATGTTATATAAGAAATCATACTTATAATTTGTTTTATGTTATGTTATGAATTAAATCAGAATATTATAATCTTTGTTTTTAAGTTATGTTATATAAGAAATCATACTTATAATTTGTTTTATGTTATGAATTAAATCAGAATATTATAATCTTTGTTTTTATGTTATGTTATATAAGAAATGGTATTTTATAAGATTTTTATGTTATATTGAATAAGATCAAAATATTATAATCTTTGTTTTTATGTTATAAGAAATCTTGTGTATTATTGCATTACATGATTAAGTAAAAGATATCAATCTAAAAGGTGAAATATCAGGAGGCAAAATTTCACTGAAAATTACTAATTGTTTGTTTAAATTTAGTTGTTCTGAGTTGACAAGCCCAGTATCAGTGAGACATCAAGTGATCTGAAGTAAAAAAAAAATTATGTCTTTAAACTTGTAATTTGGAATAGATTATTTGGATTTGTCTTTGATATACCTATTATGATGTAGAATCATATGGAATTTTCAAAGCTTAAAGGACAGATGGGTACCTGAAACATGTTGTTACTAAGGGTTCATTATATGTATAAAATATGCATGCACTTTTAATGAGTTCATGTCAGAAATCAAATGTTTGATTCAAAAATATGTATTAGATTGATATACAACAATACTGAATTACCATTCCCAAATTATATATTAAATCTCTTGTTATTCCAGAACATTCCAATTATTGATGATGATGATATTACTAATATTGATGATGAAGAAGAATTCTTCCCATCTGGTTATATAAATAACAGAGATTCTGTTGACAGTGACAGAACTTCCTGGGATGTTGTAAGTTCACATTATATAATTAACAGAGATTCTGTTGACAGTGACAGAACTTCCTGGGATGTTGTAAGTTAACATTATATATATAACAGAGATTCTGTTGACAGTGACAGAACTTCCTGGGATGTTGTAAGTTCACATTATATAATTAACAGAGATTCTGTTGACAGTGACAGAACTTCCTGGGATGTTGTAAGTTCACATTATATAATTAACAGAGATTCTGTTGACAGTGACAGAACTTCCTGGGATGTTGTAAGTTAACATTATATATATAACAGAGATTCTGTTGACAGTGACAGAACTTCCTGGGATGTTGTAAGTTAACATTATATATATAACAGAGATTCTGTTGACAGTGACAGAACTTCCTGGGATGTTGTAAGTTAACATTATATATATAACAGAGATTCTGTTGACAGTGACAGAACTTCCTGGGATGTTGTAAGTTAACATTATATATATAACAGAGATTCTGTTGACATTGAAAGAACTTCCTGGGATGTTCCTTTTATATAAATAACAGATTCTGTTGACAGGACATCCTTGAATGTTGTAAGTTTCTTATTCATAAAATTTCCCCTCATGGTCATAATTTCTTTATAGACCCTTTATTAAAATGGTCAGTTTGCCACTACTACAATACCTTATAAAATATTTCTGATTTGCCTAGTTATTGTAGCTTGACAATGATTTTACATGTCCTTACTACTTGTAGAATGATGTCAAGTCACCACCATATTCCACTCAATCTTTGGGCAGACGTCTTGGTGCTGCAGGAAGAAAATGGGGTAGTAGAACAAGTCTTAATTTTGAAAAGAGTTATTTTGAGTTTGATGATTTAGATGATGATTTCCGTACAGATACTCCAGAAGTTATTTATTATCCTGAAAATGATCTGGAAAGCGTCAAATCTTATGAAAGGTGAGTTTTCTAACTTCAGCAATTTGAGGCTTCATTTTATGATAATCGACCAATAATTATGTACTTATAGGGTGATGACTTCAAGGTGTTCTGCTTCAACATTTTTTTTTTGTAAGATTGTTTTTTTGTCTGAACATTTACTGATAAGAGTTCAAATAAGCTATTGGTGTCACTTTTAAGAAGGATACTGTGGAGTCAACTTTGTCTGCAATTCTATAAAGCCAAACCATGATTTTGATACCACATGATATAAAATGTCTTGACAATTCATCATTATCAAATAATTATTTTTTCTTTCAGTTCATTTTCTGTGTATGCCAATAAAACGAATAAATTAACACGAAGATATGGTACTTTAGATGATGGTAATTTTCATAGTCATTCATAATACTTTTTACTCTTATCTCTAATAAATGAGATGGTTTTTGACAGGCTATAGCTCTGTCTTTTTAAAGATGGGTTTCCTTATTTTTTTGGAGTCAAACTAAGCAAACTATTTGATTAATTGGTGTTTATGAATTATCATGTATTCTTAATCATATCATTATGTTCTCATTGCATATAATTAAAAGTTTTAACCAATCATAAATGCCCATGTATGTACTGTCTGGATAAACAATAAAAGACTTTTTGACCTTTCTTGATTGGTGACTCATTGGAATTCTGCTGGTAATTCTCTTCTAAGTTAGCTAAACATGAATTAATTATGGGCATGTGAGACATGCAGGTATTTTTCCAAGTCATTTGAACACCTCTACTTTCTATTTATATAAGTATTAGCATTTTCATTTCCTTAAATGAAAATAAGGGAACCCATCTTTAATATTAATTTTAAATTTTCTAACAGATTCAGAAAGTACAGATCCTGTATCATTAGATGATATGGAAGAAGAAGATGATTCTACAGGATTATCTAATCCGAGTACGCCATCAGATCCTGATAAAGGTCTACTTTCAACTACACCAGATAAGGTAAATTAATTTTTACATGGATTTGACAAGCATTTATTACATTGTTTGTTTTGGTATTTATTTAAATAACTGAGATAGTATTGCTTTATGATTACTATTTTCATCATTCCAATTTTCTGCCAGATGTCTGAGGCTCCTGTAATTTTAGAATGCTTAACCGTACATGACGGTTATAATGTACGATGAAGCATTCTAAAATGTCTGCGGAAATTGGAATGTACAAAATTGATTCTATCTGTGTCCCTTAACGACCCCTTACAATGATGTTAACGTTTTTTTTATCATTTCAGGACAAATTTGTGAAAGAGAACTTTGAAAATGTGGCATTTACCCCAATAGCACCAGAAAAATTCCACAAAGCCTTGGACCATATAGAAGAAGAAATAAATAGTAATGTTATTCGACCATTTAGTCCAAGACTTAGCATATCAGCCAGATTTTTATCTAGAGCACAACAAGCAGGACTTAAGTAAGCATCCTTTCATTGTTTTCATAGTCTTGTTCAGCAATTTTTACTTGTAGGATTGCCACTGACAGGGTTGGAAAGTTGTTAAATATTGGTTTAGCCAGGATTGGGGATTATGATTCTTTAGTTCTGGAGTTGCAGAGATTCCTATTTCCATTCCATTGGTATTTCAGACATTCCAAGTGCAAAAACTTTTCAAATTTTACTTTTACTATTTTAATAAAAACAAAGAAATTTCCCTTAATTGCACACTGCCCATTATTAACAAATTTGTTTTTTTGCAGAAGTACATTTAATAGTCTACAGAAATCTGAAAACTGGCTTGATGTGAGTTTTTTTTAATTTTATTTTAATTAATCTTAATTAATTAATTACAATTAACCCTGGAACTGGGCACAGAAATAACCAACTTTATTACTCCATTATTTAAATTTTAATATTATATATATTTTATTACTGTTTTTAAAGCTGCATGAATTATTTATGGATGAAGAAATATCATATTGTGATATCAAAAATATTATTAATTTAATACATGTATGTAATCGTCTAATATTGTCTATTCAAATTTTATTTTGGCATTGTTTTAATTTGAGTTACTTATGATTGCATAGAAAGTTTTCACTAAATTGTTCTCTTTTTGTCAAAGGCATCTGAATCTGAAATCCGTTCTTAAATCGGAAAAATTCGCATATTTAATTCGTCTTTTTTAAATTTAAATAATTTAGCATTGTGGTGCTAAAGAAGCCTTATTTTTCTAGATAATGCATGATTTCATTCCTGCAATATTGAGTGAGAAAAGTTTGGCAATCATAAGTACCATAAGCTTGTTGTTTTGCGTTCAATTTATATTTTGCACATTCATGTTTTTATTTATTTTGTTTTGTTTATGTTTTCTAATCCACACCTAAGGCACATCCTGTGATAATTGGTTTCTTAAAAACACCCCTGGATTAACTTGCAATGATTTTTAAGATTATTGATGGCAAGTGTTCTAACCTGCACAAAAAAAAGAAAGGGAACATTTATTTTAATCAGATAGTCAAATGGCATAGTTCATATAATTTGAATACTATACGAAAACATTTTTTTTAGTGAAAATATTCACACAAATATAGAAAAAATATCGAGAAACTTTTCCTTGTTTCTTGAGGAAAGAGTATGGATTGAAAGTAACCTCCCTTGTATCACAGGATGGGCCTCACCTCACACTCCTATTTATTTATTTCATTTTCACCTTCAATCAATAATTTACAGAAGAGTAAGAGTAATATGGCCCGAGCTGTGGATGAAACACGTAGACGTTTAATAGCTGTAAGTAATGTGAACGATCTGACTCGGTCGTCATGGCAACATTTATATATGATTCTTACTAACTTACACAATCTAAATATATTCAGCATCACTGTTCTTGATCATAAAAAATGTGTGTTCATGATTATGGTTTTTTAAATATCTTTTGTTTTTAAAAAAATCTTCAAAATTATCTTAATGTACTTCCCATGCTGCAGACTCGAGGTAAAATGTCTTTGCAATATTGACCTATTTGATGTGACATTTAAAATGACATGAAACATTTAAATGACATAAGTGAATTGATAAAATGAAAAAATTTTGTTTTTATTGCATGATTTTTTGATTGTTTTGATTTTTGTCGAATTTTCTCTTGTTTTTGAGAGATTTTTTGGGAATTTTTAATTATCTTTATAAAGAGACAAACAGTGACTGAATGTATTTAGACTATTGATATATACTAATTCATATTACTATTGGTACTTGGTGCAGTTATTCTTTCATTTCGCATGCCTTTGAATGGGATTGAATGCCTGTTTTGGAATGGATGTATTTTGGGCCTATTTGTTTGGTTGTTGAATTGTGACAAATTGAGACAGCTATTACAAATTATGGATTACAAGTTTGGGTCGTGTGTCACAGAGGAAGTGTACTACAAATTCTTATTGCAAGATTTTTCAGGAACTCGGTCTGTACTTTGCTGCATTTTCATATTAGTTACCTGCTCATATTTCATGTACATTTTCTTATGCATTAACTTATAGGAAATATAGGAATATTCTGTCAATATATTTCCTCTTTGGCTTAGTTCTCTAAAGTATGCTTATAAGGGTCAGAATCATGATTTACCAGCTAATTTGTACATACAGAAATTTCATCTTGATAATGTTTGTGCGTAATTTAGATTTATCACATGTAAAATTACCCAACATCTGGATTATTCTGGACCTGAATATATTCCTAGACAAAAAAAAAAAACATGGAAAAGTTAAGAGACAACTCATGATCAGATTATGTTTTTATGAAATTTTGAAAAATACCGGTATCCATTTGGTTCATCTTAATTAGAGAATCTTTATAGAATCCAGTGTAAGTCATTTTGGAGCCTCATTAGACATGGTTGGCAAATACAACCACATCAACAATCCTGATCTTCTCCTTTGTAAACTTCTGAAATGTTATTAATTGTAGATGGGTTGGGATGGTGATAATAATGATATAAATAATGAAGATAATAAACCACCCTCTCCACCAACTAAACTAGAATCTAATGTAAGTTTTTAGTTTTCTTATTTATTTATTTTCTATGGGCAATCTGACTCATTCTACATTTTGTTACTTATGCAACCAAAAACAAATAACTTATATTATGAGCAGTAGAAATTGTTAAAGATTGAGTTAGTTCAGTTAAACCTGGAAAGTAAAAATGTTAGATACACACTGAATCTGTAGAGATTACTTAATTTGACATTTGTTGACAGTAATTAAATCTTAGGCTGTATTTAACTCAATAAATTTACAATCATTGACAAATTATTCATTTTCATACCCCATGGCAGTTTCATTTTCCTTTCAATTGCATGCTCCGCATGTGCTTATCGACAATGTGCAAAATGACCGTGGACTGGAGATTTTTGTCAGTGAAACTCTTGACAAGACTCTAGATGGCGACAAAAATCTCTGACCAAGACCGTTCGTAAATATACAGCCACACACATAAATACAGCCACACACATAAATACAGCCACACATATAAAAACAGCCAAACATATAAATACAGCCACACACATAAATACAGCCACACACATAAATACAGCCACACATGTAAATATACAGCCACTCTTAAGCAGAGATAAATGTACAGCCACACACATAAATATACAACCACACACATGAAAACATGGCCACACACATCAATGTTACTGGACACATTGCTATTTTCAATATGTGCATAAGATAGTTTATATTGTTAACTTAGTAAAAATGGTTATAATAGTCTGTGTCATTATTGAGGTGACTATGGTACACAGTGGTTTTATGGGTTGTCCTTTATTTAGGTATCTATGAATATATCATTGTCCCTTCTAGCTATTTGATTCAATTAAAAATAGACAACATAATACAATAGAACAGGGTACATGTTGAATTAATAGTTGATAACCAACATACTTCCCCAATGATTAATGTCTGTTTAATGTGTCTTGGTTTTGCACATGTTAGGTTATTGCGGTAGTAAAAAGTCAAACAGGTTTTACGACAAAGTATTTCTATGAAAGTTGGTCTTTAATTTTCATTATCATAACATTTACCTTGAAACGACAAAAAGTAAGTTGTAACTTGCGAAGGGATGTGGTCACCTTCATATTTGATTTTATCTATCTGTAACTGTAACACTTTTTAAATTTACATCTAAAGTCTAGTTCTCTTGTAATTTAATAGAAATGTTATTTTGACTATTGCCACTTCAAAACATTTTTATGGGTATTGATTACCATGACATGATATGGATATTCGGTATTAAGAATGTTGATAATCCCCTCAAAGTGAAACAGTTTTAACTTGTATGGTGCGATTTTGTAGAATTCTAATAAGTGGTACACATAGGTAAATTTGAACTCATTGCTAGTATATCAAATATTTAGACGGGTGTATACCTTAAAAGTTAACCTCATGAATGAATCACTTTATAGAAAGTGTACTTATACAGTTGTAAAAGTCATCAAGTTTTGTCAGTATTTGAGAGATCTAAATAACACTAGTGGATAGGTGTTGAATGTTAAAGTGGCCCATGAATAACTAAATAAACAATTGAAACACTTGGAGAATAAATAGTCTAAATGACGTCACTTTAAGTAAAGTTTATTTGGTATATTTTGTAGGTATCTAGTTTTAAGTTAGAAGACAATCTTACTTCACCAAAATCTATCTTAAATTCAGGTATGTATTTTGTTTTGCACTTTGCTTAGTATATTTTTTACTTTTTTTCTAATGAATTCTATGCAATGACATTTTTTTATTCAAATGTTGGCATGGTTATTGCCTCTTCAGAAGATTTATTCATCAGAATATGTCCTTTACTAGCTGAAATAGCTCAATTTGCTCAACTGTCTCAACTGTCTGTGCCATTTGGAGACTTAAAATTTTGATGTCTGTTTCCCCTAAAACTGTACATTGTACATACCTTGGAAGTTAAGACTTCTCACTTCCAGGCTGTATATATAAACGAGCTAAACTTCCAACATAAATCATTACAAAACAAAATTTTATGAACTAAAACTTAAGCAAATTTTGGGATATAATGTTTATAAATGTGTTCTTTCTGGACAATATGTTGATATATTTTCTTCCTTGATCTATCAATCAAAAACATTGTGAACCTCCTATGGGTTATTTAAGTGTATTTTATGAATGAAGTATTTAATCACTTAGTTGCTAGAAATATATTATCTTAGGTTAGAAAAATATTAGTAGTCTGAATCCAAATCCTGAACTAAAGGATTTTGAAGCATCTTGTCAAATTTTCAAATCATTCCTTGGTACCTCCCTATATCATGTAATAAGATAATTCATTTAAGCATTTTCTTCATCATACTGGTTTTCTATTAATTTCATTGAAAATTGAGGGATTTCAAATGGGCTTTTAAAGGGGCTTAAAGTGCACCATCGCTTTTTTGTCAATTTTCTTTCAAGCACATGCTTTTGCTATAAAAGAAATTTTGTTTACCTACATTGTTTGGTGACAGGATAACAACAAAAACAAAAAACAAAAATGTTCAGAAAAGTAAAAACAATCATTTATGGTTCCACAATTTTTTAACCAGTGTTGCCACTCGGGCTTATGCATTTGCACTTCTTTTTGTATATTTTGTCAGCTTTTATAATTGTTGTATATTTTCTTCCCTACAGGCAAAAGGAGTAGCCCTTCCCCCAAAAGTCCACGTCGATTTTGGCTGACAAATGACCAGGCAAAGCAACGACAAGAAAGGCTCTCATTGCCTAAATTGCCTATCAGTAAATTTTTACAATCACAAATGGGTAAAACAACTCCTCCTCCTTCCAAACCTAACTATCGCAGTCGACTTCCTTCTGTGAAATCACCCCTCCCCCGGAAAATGGTGGCGTCCCCAAAATTCAAACGGAGTGGTATATAATCATGTTCTTACTAAGCATGGTGTACAGAAAATATTGTTCATAATTTCATACATAACAAGTGTGCTTTTCAAACATGCCATTTTTCACTTTTTACACTTTAGAAGTGCTTTGTCTCATTAACTTGAAAACTTAACAAAAAACATCCAGATCAAATATACTTTTTGGTCCAAATTTAAAAAGAAATCTTATCAATGTATTATGTACATGAATAGATTTGAGCTTGACAACAAGTTATCATTTTTGGAACACAATGGGCCTGACCAAAAAATTCAAAAATGTTGAATGAAAAGCTCACACTTCTAGTATGATAATCCATGTTGTGATGGGATTGCTGCTATTGCTTCATAACCTCATAGGAACTTTTTTTATATAAATATTTTAATTTTCAGCTTTATTTCAAATCGATATTCAGAAAATAAATTGCGTTTTGTTTTTTTTCTTTAATAATTATTTTAATTAACATCCTAATTTATATGTTTTGCTTGATTAATGCCATGTTTCTACAGTGTCAAATATACTTGTTATTTGCATTCTGTAGTTTGTGATATTTGAACTATATATTGTTTATAATGATACTTATACATGTATACATAATATCAGTAAGTTTTTGACTAATAACTAAAATTTTGACCATATAGGGCATATTTGGATAAAGGCTGAGCTATATATAATATATATTTATACTGGTATTACAATGAACTAGATACCATTAATACCAGTTTATGAATTAATAACATCAAATTGCAATTGGAATTATTGTAATATATTAACAAATATTTGATATTGAGAATTTTAACAGTAAAATCCTAGAAATTGAATGGGTTTAAGAAAAAGTTTTCTGTATAATATCTCAATAAATTCAGTTTACATTAATAGAAATATCAATTTGATCCTCTATATTTGACATTAAGAGAGGTCTTTTCAGTTTGTGGGATATTTAAGTTGGCCCTCCCTTATTTAACTAAACATATAATATACATTAAGCATGTTATGATCTATTTATTTAACAATCAGATATGTAACTAAGGGATAACTAGATTCAGATGATTCAGGTTCAAAACTTATGGGGAAATTGAAACATTCAGATTGCAAAAGGAATGCCCATCCATAAAAGTGAAATTTTTCTAACATTGTGAAAGAAGTCTTTCTTAAAATTTGTCTAACCTTTGAACCTTTTTGAGCTAATGATGGCTGGTTTCATTGTATTTTCATTCCCAGAATTCCAATTGAACAATGGGGCCTGAAATTCATTGAAAACTTAAAATGTGTTAAGATTTGAATAACGTCTGCTATCTTTACTATTCCGTAAGATCTGTATCATGACATCATAACTTCTAACCAACCCAAGTATATGTACTTTGTATCTTGATTTGATCAACAACGTGTAGCCATGAATGCCAAATTATTTTATTTTTAAATATGGTGTGAAATTATTGATTTATTCTAGCATGAACCTTAGATTTAGAATTATGAAAATTTAGAAAGTAGAATTTTATAATATATCTTAAGTTTCTAAAGTAGATATCAAATTTTTCCTTTTTTTTTATGTGAAATTCGTCAAAATGTGGGAGGAAAATGTGGCATTATAAATATGTAAGATGTAATTATCACCATTATCACGTTTTCATGTTTCCATGGTTACAGTGATGCAGACACATTTTTACTTTTGTCACTTGATTCTATGATTAACAAAATCTCGTTGAGTCTGAAGAAACATTTGATGATCTCTCATATTTTGTGGATTTCACATAAACGTAAATCTCCATGTTGAATTTTGTGCAGACGTGCCATATTAATGGACAATTTATTTTTCAGAAAAAGTTTTTGAAGATGATGAAGATGATGATTCATCAATTTCTTCCTCAACATCTAGCCTACGTCTGAGGGGCAGTCAACCAAACTTACGTAGTGTCAAAACTGAGGACAAACGACGCAGTACACCAAATCTGAGATCTTCATTGGACAGTGCTCTAAGTCAATCACCTGAAGGCAAACGTGGTTCAGGAGGACAGTCATATCTTAAACCAACAAAAAGTTCCAATGCAAAGATTTTAAGATCCAGTTCTGCCTCCACTTTACCAAGTGTTAAGCCAGAACTTTCCCAAACTGGTAGTCTTTCAAAAGCCACTTCATTGACAAGTCTTAACGGCACAAAGAGCGAACAATCAACAACTCAACAATATCAGAAGAAGCGTCCGTCTCAAGTTAAAAAGAGCAGTCGACTCTCCTCATCAAAACTTGCACAATATGCATCTACACCAAATTTAGCATGTGTTGAAGAGGATGATGAAGAAGAACCTCAAACAAATCTTTTGAATTTATCAAATTTAACCAAAAGCGTTCCAGATATCAATGACTTGGATGATACCAGCACTGCCTCGTCATCTGAAAACCCTCCAAAACCTTTAGCCAATGCTTCCAGACGTCCAGGACTAAGAACTCGCTTTTCAGGATTTAAAAAGGATCGTGATTCTAGTGTGGATAGTGGTGGTGCTAGTATAGATAAAAGATTACCCAGACGGTCATTAAATGTTGGGAGTTCCATATCAGCAGAATGTCAAGGTGTTAGGCGTTCACTGTCACCATTGATGAATCAAAATCGTGATTCAGGATTAATGCCCCCTCCTTTAAACATCTCTCGGAAGAAACCAGATTCCATTTTGAAACATTCGATAAAAAGACGATCTCAACCAGAACTAAGTCTTGATGAAGCGAAAGATATTTTGATGGGCAGATCTAAATCTGGCCGTGATTTTTTCTCAAAAGATAAGGAAAATAAGATATCAACAGACGCAAATACGCCAGAAAAACTTGAACAAAGTGATAATTCTAAAAGTGGAAAGACACCTCCACAAACAAGTGCAACTTCAAGTCACAGAACTTTGCCTCAAGTAGGTGGTCATAGAGCATCACCTCAACTAAACTCTGCATCAACAAAACAAGTACAGCCTAATTCAAATAACCAAACGCATAAAACTCCACCCCATTCTACCACACCGCTAGTTACTAGTCAACCAGATGATATGGATGAGAAACAGCCAAGTATCAAGGACAGGATAGCGCTGTACTACTCTCATATGACGCCAGATAAGGAACCTAGTGAACCTCGGGAACCAAGATCTAGATCTGCTTCACAATCAGACATTAAAGTATCACCTCATTCTGTGACCTCCACCACAACGTTAGATCTGAATATAAGTTCGCGAAGTCAGTCCGATACAGGGGTGGGATCCGATACTGATACTGATTCAGAGATTAAACGTCCTGATAAAACTACGTCTCATCCTAGGTTGACATTGGTTACCAACAATCATGATATAGACAATGGGTAAATATATTTTACTTCTGTAAGGCAACAAAATGTAGACTTGCAAGCAATGAATTACATGTATTGTATTTAAACTGTTCAAAAGAGGAGCAAATTGCAGACAAAATTTGATCACTTGATCATTAACCAGGACTTTGGTAGTTGATCATGTTTAGGGTTGTTTGTTAGTTACTGTAGTTATTGATGGAATCATTGTCAGCTATGTTATATTTTTAGTGTAGGTCCTTATGAAATATAAGTAAAATTTTATTCAAAATTTGCTTTTTTTCCTGATATTTTTCATCTTCATTGTGATCCAACAAGTTTTCAACCCGAGTTGTGTTCTTATGTCAGGTTGCGCTGTCCAACAATTCTTCATTCTTCATGACATGCTTATTTTAGTGGTTGAAAATTTGTTAGATTACAAAGGAGAAAAGATAATTTTAATTTTAATTAGCTGATAAAGCAGTAAATATTCAGACGACACTATAAATAAAGCTCTTCATTTGTATTTGACAGGGTATCTTTAACAACACCAGTGGTTTCCTCATCATTAGATCAGTTACGTTTAGATCCTGTTAAAATCAACCGTAGTAAACTGTCATTACCAGTAACTCCAGACTACAACTCTCAAGATTTCTTTACCAACTGTTCTGAGGCTGTAGCCGACTTGAAGAATGCTATACAACGATTAAAACAAATACATATCCAGGTATGCATAGCCCTGTACTCATCTGTTTTACCTGAGCAAGATCAAAATGCAATCCTACTTTTCTTCACCTTGTTGTGTAAGACCTAAGGATGTCGTAAACAACTTTTAAAAACTGAATATGCAGAAGGATTTTTCTTGCCTTATTATTATAGGTTTATAGGATTATATAAATATTGCCTAGGAAATCCACTCCCTACTTACCATGGAAAAATTGAATCAATAGACCAAAAAGTATTCCATTTTGTCTGGCACATTTTCCCCCTTCCACTCTGCCTCATTCTGGCAATTAATGTAGGCCCAATTAGGAACAGAATGTTAAAATGTAAAAATTTCCTTTATGTTATATTTTCAATTTTTCAGTCATGTAATATCAAAGATGGCAATTCAGAACAAGTACAAGCTTTATTAGGTCAAGCATTCCAAGAGGCACATCATACATTTGCTGATTTATCAGCTAAAACACCAACTGATACTACAGATAAAACATTATCCTATCCCAACCAACCAGAGACTAGTACAAAACCTTGTGAACCCTCTAGTGAAGATGACATGGTGCTGGCCAAAGCCATGTCAATGATGGAACCTTTATTAAACAAATTTTCTAGTAGAATCTCGGAACAAGTAGTTGAAAAACTCAAAACCAAAAGTGACAAAACTGGTACTATAGTTTGATGTTAGTGATTGTTAGCGACTCTAGTGATCCCACTTACTTTGAAATACATGTGTACTCTCTAAAGTCATAGCAGCCATATTTTAATCACGAGGGAGGAATCAAAAGCATAAGTCATTTAATATTCATTGAGTGCAAGCTTAACCACGTAACATTTCTCGCCAAAATATCTGAATGTAGAGCATGATAGCTTGCAGTGATTGATAGTTTTGGAGTGATTGTCTGTTTTAATTCCTGTTGTGTCTTCCACCAGCCACTGAGATATATAACCATAGTGCTATCATAGTTATTTTTGTATGTTTGAATGTGTTTGTTGTACTACATTATGTGTGAGCATTGTCATGTGTGTGTTGTCAATGTTATTTGATCCTGAATCTGCTTCAGAAGATGAAATGCATGGATCCATAGAAAATTATTTTGGGTTGGTTGTACAAGGGAAACAACTACGGAAAAATTGGGCATTTCTGGGAAAACATGGCAATGAATCAATTTTGCAATGTGCTCTTTTTGGACCTCCTAATATATTTCCATATCATGGCATGAGCTTGGTTGTGTGATTGCTTTACATTAAAGTGCCTTAACTTTTATTTGTATGTATATATTGAATTCTTCATATAATCTGTATATTTGGTGTATGTATATTTTGTATATATAGCTTCATACAGATACCATTGTGTTCACTAACAGGTTCTAATGGAAAATGTTCAATATAAGTTATGCAAGTTCTGTTTTGGAATAAAAACAATGAGAACTGCTAAAGGAAATTCGGAAATCCAAAATAAAAGTTTGGCAATATATTGGTTGAAACAAATGAACTGTTCATATGAGATTTCTATCAATTATAAATAAAAAAAATTTTCATTATAGAAAGTGATATCAGGTGTTTAGAAAGAAGCATAATCAACCTGACACCACATTACATTACTGCTTTATATTAGAAATTCCATGGAAGCTCTCTGTAATACTTAAACTTATGTTGAACATTCTCCTTTTATATACATTGGTGCTATTGTTTTATTATACTCTATCTATCATTAATCATGAACATTTTGAATATAGAATCAGATCATAAATCATTAATAGATTTTAATATGATTTTGGATATAAAATTGGATCATTAATCATGAACATATTGAATATAGAATTAGATTATAAATAGATTTTAATGAAAAGTACGATTTTGGACATAAAATTGGAAAAAGTATCATAAAGATTTTGAACATAGAATTGTTCATAGATCATAAAAGATTTTGAACATAGAATTGTTGTTCATAGATCATAAAAGATTTTGAACATAGAATTGTTGTTCATAGATCATAAAAGATTTTGAACATAGAATTGTTGTTCATAGATCATTAAAGATTTTAAACATAAAATTGTTGTTCATAGATCATAAAAGAATTTGAACAAAGAATTGTTGTTCATAGATCATGAAAGATTTTGAACATAAAATTGTTGTTCATAGATCATAAAAGATTTTGAACATAGAATTGTTGTTCATAGATCATAAAAGATTTTGAACACAGAATTGGGTCATGGATAATGTTTGTTATAAATTTGGAGCAAGAATCAAACTTCACATTTCGTATTTTGAATCATTTTTTCGTAGAAGTAAAATTCTGCTTTTTTGTTTGAATATTAATTTGATCTAGTTTTTGTATATGACCATTTCTGAAACATTCCAAGAGATATTTTGCCAAAATCATCTTTATAATGTGCAAGGATATATCTTACAATTTGGTGTCCAGAGAATCATTTTGAACTTGAAATGGTGTATCAGAGACATTAAAGGCACATTTCTGATAAAAATCCATATTATTCATCTTCACAATGTCAATTACAAGTTTATACTTACAATGATTGCAACAGCCATCTTTCTTGCATCAAGTTTGTAAATGCAGCGTTTTGGTTGGATTGTACATTAGCGATTACAGCCAATTAGAGTCCTCAACAGAAAGTCTGTATTCGCTGGCATACAATCCAATCAAATTGCTGCATTCTGTGATACAAGAAAGGAGGTTATTGCAGTCAAGGTATAAGACGAGTTTGCAATACCTTCACCATCATGAAGAAGGGTATTATTATGCTAAAAAACTAGAATCTAAGCTAAATATTTGAATTTATATCCATTCTGTACTTTTGACAATCATTTCTTTTATATATCATACATATTAAGTGCAATTATTTGTAAATATAGCTTGTAAATGATTCTGCTAATTTATTTATTTTCAAAAGTTGTGAATAATGTTTATGTCATGTGTGAAAATCAACATAATATTATTTAGAGACATTTTTACTGTCGATTGACGGATTCATTATCAAATTTGGATTTCATACCTTTTCACACAATTTTGGGAGATTTGAAAAAGGGCAATGCTGATAAATTCTTCAGTTTGTCAAGTTTGTTCTCAGCCTTAAGAAAGAAAACTTTATAAGAATCTCACCAAAACTTGTATTTGAAATGATTTTAAAATTCCATGGACCAAAATTGTTTTCACTATTAGAGAGCTGAGAATGAGTCTAGTCTATAAGAATGGACTGAATCATTGCCTTTAAATGTAAAACTAATATATCATAACAATATTGATAATACATATAGGATCAATTAGGGCCTGAAATTCATTTCCATGCCATTCAGTACATTTTCAACCTTTTTGTCATGAAAATTCATATTTTAATTAAAATGTTTTGTTGTGGTTGAAAGCTTCAGTGAGTGAAAAGTTTGGCTTTTATTGAAAATTTCTTTGTGCTATATTTGGTTGTTGTTGATTTGGGTTGTTTGTGATTCTATGGGTTGTACATTTTGCTTATTTTCAGCAAATTCTTATACATGCATTACCTCAAGACAGTGATGGCTTAGTAAAAATTATATTTAAGCACAATGCTATAGAAATAGATTTATATACATATTATTTAGTGTTAATAACAATTCATTTAACAAATCTGTAGAGTTATTTACATACAAATCAATACCATTGCCTTATCATATTGTGCTTCCTTTAATCATGTGATAGCATAGTCATGGCCATGTTTGTTTCAGTATAAATACGAATCGTTGAGGGTTTTTTTTATTTCTTCTTTGGGTTCTAATGCATAGCTTTCTTCGATTCTGTTTTTATAACCCCGGAAATTTTTTTTTAAAGCTAAGAGTTATATTCATTTTCCTAAACTCTTTTTACCCTCTTGTAAAAATTGTCAAAATTTTAATGTACTAATCTGGAATTTATTCACCCATTTGTATGTATGTATGAAACAAACAAGGCTCTATAATAATTAACCATTATAAATATCAGGTTCATTATTTTGTTTCTTTGCTTATAATTTATCAAGCAAAATGTTATTTCCCTATAAATATTTCAGAAAGGAATAAAAAAATATTTAAAAAATAATTTTGTGTTGTTTGTTCCTAAAATTTTGCTTTATGAAGGATTACCTTGGAAAATGATAATCTGAAAACCTTGCAAATTGTAAGGCACAAATATTTTAAGGCGTTAGAAGATAATTTGTACGTTGCTCTTTGCCATTTTTTTCCCAATCATTTTCTAAAGTATTTTGTGCTCAAATATATCAGCAGTACATTGGAAATGAGGTGGGGTCAAACTTTCAATGAGATCGTCTGAAGCTCTTGAGATATAGCATGAAATGGGCAGTTTTACATCCTACTCTTCTGCACCTAATTGGGCTAAGTAAGATGAGACGAAATGAAACATAAGATAGGCTTTTTGTCACACTGTTTAGTGGGCTTTGCACCTTAACCATAGTCAAATTTTAAACAGCAAATCTCTATTTCAAACACTGGCTGTTTTGATGACGACTGTATCGACAGCATGAGAATTTTCGTTTCGGTGAAACAATCCCCTTGATTTAAATGGACACTATAGATAGATGACTTAAAAATCCCCTAACTTTGACAAAGAAACCACCTAATGATAGCCCTAGATGGTTTTCTAATCCATTCATGTTTGTTGCCAGCAACAGTTAATAACTTCTACTAATCTAATAATAAATATGTCTGTTGTAAAGTTGTATGGTTGTCCTCCTAGTGAACACAGTGCTCTAATATTCCTTGTCGTATTAGATGTTCACATTCTGATCTCAACAAGAAATGCTGAAAATTAAAATGCATTTAAAAATGTCAAGGGAAAAGCTTAATCAGGTCAAGTATATGAGGCAGCTTAGTTAAGTTTTCATATAAAATGCCTTCAGTGTACAATACATGAAATTTTGTTAGGACAGAATCATTAGCTTGCTCTTTTTTTTATTTCTGACTGACGACTATCTTTAGCGTGCACAATGCAGTTTTAATTCATTATTCAATTCTTGCTGAGTCACTCCAGTTCCTCATGGTTACAAGAGGAGTTGACCAAATAAAAATGGGCTTTTGCATCAGAACTTAAATAATTTCATGCTTAAGAGGAAAATTCTGCCATACCTGACTATTTTTCTTTAAAACTAAAATATTTCCATCTTGTGTCTCAAATTCACCATGATCCACTAAACAGCGTACCTACAAAAAAAATGTACGACTGTATAACCTCATGTATTTGCCCATCCAAAAGGGCAAAATCTCCACCTATGCTTGGTATGAACCTTGGAACCTAAAGTTTAACAAACCTCCAACTCATTAAGCACTGCGCCTCACTTTGTTACACTTACAGTATGTTAATAAAAAGCAAGTCTCTAACCCAACCTGCCACTACGAAATAAGCAATTCAACAGCTATTTCCCAGAAATGTTGCTCTCACCTCTATAAAGAGTGTTTTTGGTGGTTTTATATCTTGTGTTAAATCCAGCCCCCCACCATCACCTATAGATCTCATATAATTAGCCAATAATTTATTATATTTATTAAACCATTGAATCTGAAATAAAATATAGAGAAGCTTTTAAAGATATGTCTTGATCCAACATTTTCCTAAAGAGATCATAAAAAAACAGTCAACATTCAAGTCACGTGTCTTTATGACACTGTTCTAATCATGATACAAGATAATTATATATCACTTCTTGAAGAATTTAAAACTTCATTGTACCATGTCTGTTATTAGAACTGGGTATCAATTACCAAATTGAGATTGATTATCGATGGCAGAATATTGATCAATAATCGATTAATAATCGAAATATTTTAATTGAGAAACCCTATAAATACTTAATCAAAAACATGTCAAATTTGGGGTTATTGTATTGTTTTGGTAAGTCATGTGCTCAGTTAATTGTCACATCCTACCTGCATCACTGACGGAGGGGAAATATGAAAAATATGAAGGAATTATCCCATGATGGAACCAAGGAACTTCAAGTTGGCAAGTAACCGTCTCACTGAGCCACTAATCGCACAAGGTTGTTATGAGAAATATGTCAATGTTGATTGTTGTTCTATTAAGCTATGTCTATATATATAAATAATATACCTCCTGTTCACAGAGATTATATTTAATATCAGCAGGTAAAACACTTCCAAATTCCCATCTCATTTTCTTAATATTCTCAAGTCTGTTATATCTACAATTATCCATCAAATATTCATCAATAAAATGAAGGAAAATTTTTCACTTTTTTTTTTACCCGAACTGAAGTTGGCCTGGCTTTGGCCCAAACTCTCGAATATTTTATCATTATCTGTTGCCGTAAGCTCTCCTGGACAAATCTGTGGCCCAGTAATAGATTATTTGGTTAATGAAGACAGCAATTCAACTTCTTGGAGAGAGCGCTTCTTATTCTTTTTTAAAGCACAATGGTGATATAAATAGTTGAATTGAGCCTATGAGCTGCTATAGCACATACTTTGATACCTTTATCCCTTTCATACAGATATTACAGATTCATCATGTATCCAGAGATATCAGGATGCATGTTGCAAATAATAA